TTGAAGCATAGAGGGTGACATAGAATCCTTTGCCGGGGGGATGGAATAAAGTTTGTATAACGAGATTACAAAAAAATTTAAAAGAAAGTCTAGGATAGAAACATGATTGATTATAAACATTGCATGTTAGGCCCTAATAACAATGGTTGACACATGCCAATATAAAAACACTACACTCCTCTTCTTCTTCTTTTTTACGAAAAAAAAAAAAAGTTTAAATATGGTTCCTCTAATGAAAAACTTTCTTTGTTTTTTTTTTGAACACCGAAAAGAGAACTACAAAATTGGGAATAAAGCATCCCACAAAGCCATCGGAGGGTTAGACACCCAATGGCAAGGCAAACACAAAGAGAGACGCATTCACAACTCAATCCGCCACTCTGTTAACTACCCTCGGGCTCCATTGGAAAGAAGAATTTCTTCCCCTAGCTAGACTTCGAATATCCTCAATAATTGTAGCACAGTGCCAAGGTGGAGCATTCTCAAAAACACATAGCAAAATCATGCTCTGGTTGTCACTCGAAATCTCCACTGAAGAGAGATTTTGGAGCATAAGCCATCAGGCATGCCCACCTAACGGCCAAGGCCTTCCCTTGTAAAACCGAGCGAACATAAACTTAAAGAGCATCCCCATCCAACAATTTCCCTTGACAGTCCTGAAACAAGACGACTATGCCTGCTTCAGAAGACCCATTTCGTAGAGACACCAGGGCTATCGATCACATAACAAATAGAGTGCTTCGATTTAATTCTAACGTCTACTGAAATATCATCCATCCACCACAGAGCAAGGCCTCCCAAAGTGCCCTCTGGTCAACATAGCAATCGTTGGTGAAGTGAAGTCACTTGATAATCCTCTCAAACTTGGGAGGTTTATTTTTTGTTTCCATCAAAAATACTAATGAGGAACGATGGGTTGTAACTAACCCTTGGAGGGTCCGGATTGTCAGGGGTCACCCCATTCCCTGACAGTTCCTGCTCAACATTAACATGGAGCTCATAGCTGATTAGGGCCAGCCATCAAAGCCCATTCTTCCGCGTTATCATCTTTTGGTGGGTAAGTAGAGGGGACTTACGAACAGCAATCATCAACATCAGTTGACGTCTACAAAATAGGAATCGAAACCAGGGCACCATCTTCCTCAGGTTGCTCAGACCTCATGGCATTCTCTTTTCGGATGGATGAGATGGCAAGACCATGCGACCCTCCCCTTCAAGCAGCTTTGACAGCATTATCACGATGAATTCTGGTCCCTTTACTTCGAGAGGGAGACAGATTATGGGCTGTAATGTCTGTAAGTTTTCTAAATAAAACTGTATATTAGTCTTGAATTCTATTGAACAAAAAATACATACATCATTTATATAGAGTACCACTAATTCCTAATCCTACATGAACACATTACTGAGATATATAGAAGTCTAATAGATATAGGACAGTTATTCCTAATCCTAGGAGAACACATATTTTCGCACCCCCGCTCAAACTCAAGGTGTTTTAGCTGAAAACATTGAAAGTTTGTCAAGAAAGAACCGAAACCGAGCAGTGGTGTGCATCTTAGTGAAGAAGTCAGCAAGTTGTAGAGCAGAAGAGATAAAAGGAAGCGAGATAAAGCCAGACTGCAGATGCTGACGGACGAAGTGACAATCAATCTCAATATGCTTTGTCCGTTCATGGAAGACAGTGTTATGAGCAATTTGAATAGCACTTCGGTTGTCACAATAGAGAGAGGTTGGGGAAGATTGAGGGACGCCCAACTCAGATAAGAGCTGACGAAGCCAGACAATTTCAGCAGTAGCATGAGCCATAGCACGATACTCAGCTTCGGCAGTAGAACGGGCAACAACAGTCTGTTTCTTGCTTTTCCAAGAAATTAGGGAATCACCAAGAAACATACAGAAACCAGAAGTAGATTTACGATCATTAACATCACCAGCCCAATCAACATCAGCATAAGCCACCAAGTCTAAGGAAGAAGTAGAAGAGAACAGCAAGCCCTGAAAGATAGTACTGCGAAGATAACGAAGAATCCGAAGCAAAGCAGCCCAATGTGTAGAGCGAGGGGCAGAAACAAACTGACTAATCACATGGACAGCATAGGCAAGATCAGAAGCTGTCCAAACAAAGAAAGCTTAGATGGTAAACCTTTTACCCATATACACTTCCAAGGAAAAAGAACAACATTTCCATCCGCGAGAGTACAATAGAATGAAGAGATTGAAAAAACCTCTTTAGACTGTGGACAATCCCACACCAAAGAATCCGCCCTATTCTCTCCAAACTGTACGCCATACAAGAATTGACACGGTGAATAACCTCATTTGCATACTTGACCTGAGACAGAAAGTAGCCATTGGGAGAAGAAGTTACCAATACTAAGAAAATACCGCAATGGGCCCAGATTCTTTATTTCGAAGGTGCATAAGAGATGCTGCTTGACCTCAGAGATAGCAGAAGAGTCTGAGCCAGTGATGATCATATCATCTACATATAGTAAGAGAGCAACAAAACCAGTCGAGGTATGTCTTAGAAATAAAGCAGAGTCGGAAGCAGAAGGATGAAACCCAAGCTCGGTAACAGCAGTCTGAAAGCAATCATACTAAGCACGAGGAGACTGCTTTAGACCATATAGAGCACGCCGAAGACGACAGACTTGGCCAGAGGAATGGTGAAGACCAGGGGGAGGACGCATGTAAACCTCCTCAGTGAGAGTGCCATTAAGAAAAGCATTCTTAACATCCATCTGATAAAGGGGCCAAGAACGAACAGCAGCGACAGAAATCAAAGTACGGACAGTAGTCATCTTGGCAACAGGAGCAAATGTCTCCTCATAATCAATACCATACTCCTGGGAGAAACCTTTGGCTACCAGACGAGCTTTGTAGCGCTCAAGAGAACCATCAGAATGAGTCTTGACTTTGTAGACCCATTTGCAACCAACTAGATTCTTACCAACAGGTAAAGGAACCAACTCCCAAGTACTATTTTTCTGTAGAGCAAACAACTCATCCTCCATAGCTTGAACCCAATGAGGATCCTGACAGGCCTCCTTGTAAGACTGAGGTTCTGCAAAAGAGTGAATAGCAGACAAAAAGGTACGATAGGAAGCAGAAAAACAAGTATTAGACCAACCCAACCTTTTTGGAGGATGACGCACTCGAGGAGGATATCGGTGTGCAGCAGGATCAGAGTTGTCAGAAGCAGGAGGATCAACAGCAGGGGTAGAGACAACTGGTAGAGGAGGAACCTTGCGACGAGAATAAACTAACAACAAAGGAGAAGCAGGAGGAGAATGCGAAGAAGGAGAAGTAGTCAAAGGTGAAGCAGGAGGAGAAGATGGAATAAGCTCAGGAGGAACTGTGGAGATGTACTCATCAGATGGGACCTTAGAAGGAAATGGATCAATATGAACCAAATCCTCTTTGGAAACTGGGGTAGTGAGAGGAGGAAGCTGAAAGTAAGATAGACGTTCGAGAAAGGCAACATGGCGGGAGACATAAAGGCGACGAGAAACAGGGTCATAATAGCGATAACCTTTCTGAGTGAGACTATATCCCAAAAAAACACATAGGATAGACCGGGCACTAAGTTTAGTCCTATCTTTACGGGGTAAAAGGACAAAACACGCAGACCCAAACACACGAAGGAGGGAGTAATTAGGAAGTTGAGAAAAGAGAGCCTCATAAGGAGACCGACCAGAAAGAAAGGGGGTAGGCATACGGTTGAGAAGAAAAGCAGCAGTAAGAACTGCCTCACCCCAAAACGGAGCGGGAACGGAGGCAGAGAGAAGAAGAGACCTAGCTGTCTCAAGAAGATGATGGTGTTTACGCTCAGCTCGGCCATTTTGGGCAGGTGTATCAGTACAAGAAGTTTGGTGAATGGTACCCAAGTTGGCCAAATATTCACAGAATTCAGTTTTAAAGTATTCCCCACCCAAGTCAGACCGCAACATTTTAATAGTAGATCCAAACTGTGTAGTGACCATGGACTGGAAAGTACGATATATCTGGTAGAAGTCAGACTTATGAGTCATAAGATAAACCCACGTGTAGCGGGTGCAATCATCAACAAAAGACACATAGTATACTGAACCCCCTTTAGTAAGAACAGGAGAGGGTCCCCAGACATCAGTATGCACAAGAGAGAAAGGAGAAACAGAAATAGATGTACTTTTATTAAAAGGTAAAGCTGACATTTTGGCAAGTTTACACCCCCGACATTCATCAATTTGACTAGGAGAAACTTTACCCAACAATCCTGACTGAGCTAAAGACCGTAAGCGGTCAACAGACAAATGACCGAGACGAGAATGCCATAAGTAAAACTGACTCGACTGAGAATCTAATTGAAACGAGGAAAGTGCAGTTGGAGAGGTGGATAAGGGGAGATGCAAGCTTTCAACCACATAGAGATCTCCAATTCTACGGCCGGTCCCAATTTGCTTCTTGGACACCCGATCCTGCACACAACAGACAGAAGAGGAAAAGATAACATCAAAACCAAACGCATCAAGTTGACTGATAGATAACAAACTGACAGATAACTGAGGAACATAAAAAACAGAAGGAATAGTAACAACAGACATGGCAAAGGGTAAGACAGACCCAACAGATAAAACAGACATACCAGATCCATTAGCAGTATTAATAGTAATAGGAACGGGTGGGGGAATACAATTTTGAAGTAAGGAAAGGTGAAGAGTCATATGATGAGAGGCACCAGAATCAAAAATCCAGACAGAAGAAGGGATACCTGAAGAGGACCCAAGCAAACCTGAATAAAGAGAGGTACGAGCGGAGGCAGATGGGGATGACTGAGAGGTGGATAGGATATGCTGAAGTTGTGCAACCTGAGCACTCAGGGAAGCCAAGTCAGGATCGGGAGCCGGAGTAGATGCAGTGTAAGCAGTAGGAGGTCGGAAAGCACTCGAAGTAGGACCGCGGAACTGTGTCTGAGAAGACGGAGCAGGCTGACGTCCCTTTTTGGGACAATTGTTCTTTCAATGACCCCTCTGATGGCAGAAAGCACATTCATCTGGCCCTAATGGTCCTCTCTTGGGTTTCGCAGTGGCCTGCAGTTGATGAGGAGGAGGGGTCGATAACAAGGGTGGCTTGGCAGAAGCCAAGAACACAGAAGGAGGCAAAGTCTGACTGGCTGTCTTAAGACGGGTTTCCTCGGAGAGGAGTTCACGAACAATGGCATCCACAGAGGGAAGAGGAGATCGGTGAAGGATTCCACCTCGAATAGCCTCATACTGAGGGGAGAGAGCTGTTAAGAACTGGACTAAACGACCCTGTTCCCGAAACTCAATATAAGCGTCTAGTATCTTGAGACTAGGTGGTTCCATAAGAGCCAACTGATCCCAGAGACTTGTCATCTCAATATAAAAGTCCTGAATAGTTTGATCCCGCTGACGAGCACTCTGAATAGTTGTTTCCAACTCATACCGCTTGGCAAAGTTGGACTGCTGATAAACACCGAGTAAATAATCCCACACTTCCTTGGCAGTACTGTACTTGGAAAACATCATTCCAATACGGTCACCCACAGAGTTATGAAACCAGGTAAGAACTTGGGCATTATCACAATCCTAAGTGTCACAGGAAGACAGATACCCTTCTACTTTCGGGTCCGATGGACGAGGAGCAGAACCAGAAACATAGCCCCATTTTTTTTGACCAAGAAGAAAATTCTTCATAACACTGGCCCAATAGGCATAATTGCCACCAGTGAGTTTACATTTAATGGCTTGAATTTTAGGGTCCATTATAAAGCAAAGTTGTAGAATAGTTAGGTCAAAGTATAATAAAGGAAACACCGAAGAACCAAACTGAGATGTGTCAATAACTCAGTTAAAAGACGGAGCAAGAGAACCAAACTAGAGGAGTGAGAACCTGAAGCCGACACATGCGAACCAGAATGAGAGAGAGAAGACGGCGAGTCGAATAGATGAGTCGACCAGTTGAGTTGAACAGTTGCAAGGAATCAGATGAATCAGACCCAACCAGATGATCGACGAAGCAAGAAGCTTCGTCCGACAACCAGGGCAAAGAGAGAGAGAGGAATCGCGAACCAGACTGTGCCAAGGAGAAGATTCACGACTGACGATTGATGATGCAAAGGGCTCTAGACTGTGCCAAGGAGAAGATTCACGACTGACGATTGATGAAGCAAAGGGCTTCGATCAACAATCAGGTTTGAGAGAAGGAGAGAGACCTACGGTGCTAGGGTTTCTCAACCTGCTCTGATACCATGTAAGTTTTCTAAATAAAACTGTACATTAGTCTTGAATTCTATTGAACAAAAAATACATACATCATTTATATAAAGTACCACTAATTCCTAATCCTACATGAACACATTACTGAGATATATAGAAGTCTAATAGATATAGGACACTTATTCCTAATCCTAGGAGAACACATATTCTCACAATGTCAGCCAGTTCAGTGCCTTTTAGGAGCTTCAGAGGGCACGGGTCTCCTCTAGTGATCTCCTGAGCTTTAGGTTTAATCAATAAATCTTGAAAAATTCTAGACATGCACTGCTCCACAGAATTGTCCACAAAAACTAGATTAGGTGGGCTAGAACTAGGACTTATCTCTTCTATCCCAATCTCTAGGCTAGGTCCACAGGAGTTCAAAACAGACTGGGCTTCAACGAATGAAGAGATGGATTCCGTCGGCTCTATCACAAAGTAGCTATGCCCAGGCCCAACCCCAGGACTAGACCCATTGAAAGGTGGCCCACGAAAAATCTCATTTTCCAAATTGGTTTATTCACATTAATGTCCCATTAAGGCTCCACTAGGCGCATCAACCTTGTAACATGTAAAGCTCCCAAAGTAAATACGCAAACTCATTTAATAAGCGGAAGCATAATTGAATTACATCCTTTCATTCATCAGAGTTTGATATATAAAATGTGACATATGTGATATACATTCATATATAGTCTATAATGAATCTACAGTATGTGTTATAAGTAAACAAAAGATAAAAGTTGAACAGATATTTAAATACTCTAAAAGGTTACATCTTTCCAAGATATTTCTTGGTTACAACAAAAGTGAACCTAGCTCAATTACAACTTAAAACCCTTGGCTATACAAAACAGATACAACAAAATAGAAGCTCATACTCCAAATCCCTCCAAGCTACTGCCTTGGTGGAGGTATATCACCAACACTTGAAAATAGTTTTCTCAAATAGGATGAGCCAAAACTTAGTAGAAATAATCTAACATTTTATATGAGTCTTAACAAAGATATAAGTAAAGTGTGCATATACAGTGTTCGTAGTCAAATCATTCATGTTTTACAAAATCACAATACGCCGAGTTTTATATCCCAATCCTTGTTATCTCAATTTCATCCACGTCAATTCATTTCATCTCAATTCATGAGCCAATTTCATTATTTTCCAGACAACTCAACTGAGACTACAACTCAATGGTTCTCAATTTACCACATTAATCACACAAACATTTCAATTTTCCATTTTACGGAAATTTCATCTGCGGAATCAGCACCCATGTATACGCGCGGTTTCGGAACTTTTACCCTTGACACACCGGCCAACTTAATTTAATGGAGTCTATTATCTTTCTCCTCCCAAACATGGAGTACATCCCCCTTTCTCCTGCCAAACATCATACATATATAATGTATTTAAAACACAGTCATATTCAATGACAACCAACAAGAGATTAGTTTCAATTCACCTAATCCTCATGCAATTTCTACAACAATCATAGCTATTCTCCACCGATAGCCCAATACAGATATTTCTAAACAGATATTCAATCTCAAGACAGTTAATTTATTCAAAATTTCATAGGTGAGTGATAATACATATTCTTCTCCACCATTTATATCAACATCCATTCAATTTCACATTTTCAATCCCAATTTCATTTATTTATACCAAAATAAATATTTGAAACATTTTAGGGCAAACTCCCCATTTTCCACATATCAACCCAAATGCCAAAATCAACTATTTTGTCATAATACAATCTCATATTTAACCCCATAACCAATTATAACTCATTTACTTAGAAACCCCGCTTTTGATTTGACACCCAAACCCTAGGTTTGCTCCTAGTATACCCAAATTCCACCATTTTTACACAACTCATAACTAAGTTAAATATCATATGCAAGTGTAGAAAATCCCTACCTCAAGTTTGAAGACGAGCAAAGCAAAGAAGAAACTTGGTATCACGACCCAAACCTGCCCCATAGGTTTAGCATCATAACCGGTCAGTAATCCTTGGATTACCAGAGGTATCTGAACAGAATAACATATAATCAAGGGACTGCGGAAGCAAATATACAAAATACAACGTCCATTGAGCTATGCAGACGTACATGGGAACAAATAATTTTCAACTTTATAAGCGTACACATGACATCACACAGATACAGTTATTGTATGTCACTCCATGTACAGATAACTAAAAACAAATTGTTCATTAAATAAGAGAAAACCAAGTGTTGAACATTCAAAAAGACATGGCCACATGGCTTGACTTGATCCGAAACCTCCTCGGGAGGCACACAGGGTGGCTAACAAAATAGAACTCCAGGCCATCAACCTTGAGCTTGGTTACGCGCCCGGTCACCTACATACATAAATACTAGAGTAAACGGAAGCCCAGTGAATAATATCAAGGTAAAGAGTTTAATGAATGCCATCCATCTTAAAGTTAGAAAACAAAGTTTATATCTGAAATAGATTCTTATGTATATTCAAATTTCAAATCAAAACAGATTCAGATTCACATGCTTATCCGGAAATCATAATAGTTATAACTGGTACATCTATTTACTATCACATCAACTTAGTCCTGAGACTCACATGTACAATCGGTACAGATGACCACAAAGGTCCACATCTTTGCACAAGTAGCCATGGTATTGGTACCCCCAGGTGAGGGCCACGTGAATATAAGCCTCGGTATTGTTACCCCTGGGCTAGGGCCACATGAACATAAGCCATAGTATTGTTACCCCTGGGCGAGGGCCATGTGTATATCAGCCACGGTATTGTTACCCCCGAGCGAGGGCCACGTGAACTATGGATGCCACAAATATATTTCAGAAAAATGGATATTCATTCATGATTTAGAAATAACATTTCTGAGAACAATTCATACCATATCAGTCAGAAAAATACTTATAAGTGAACATAGCTTTACAAAGTTATTACTCAAAATTAATAGAGCCTTCAAGGCAAATAGACAGAATAGGCAAATTAGACGTCTTGTGGCGTGTGACCTACACGTACATAGCAGAAACACATAATGAAACACACCTTCGGTTGGCACTTAACTTCTTTCATTTCATTCTAGTGTGTTTCTAGGTCTTAACCTCTTATTGAGTCTTAATCATGGCTTAGGAATGCCTAGGATAGAATGAGTATGCAAAAAAATGCATTTGTAAACACTTGGTCAAATTTTCTGAAACAGGGTCCCGGCTAGAGCGTATCTTCCCCCGCTCGAGCGGACATGCATCGTATGAGGGGACGCTCAAGTGCAACTTTCCACGCTCGAGTGCTCTGTAAATTTTGAAAAAGTATTGGTTATGTGATTTTCACACTCGACGAACGCTCGATGGTCGCTCGAGTGTGAGGCTCATATTCTCGCTCGAGCGCAACTCTTGCTGCTCAAACAGTCTACAAAAACATGAAACTTCTGGGAGTATGTATTTCACCCTCGAGCGAACTTCTGGTCGCTCGAGTGGAAATGCAAACAAAGGTTGTTGCTTGAGCGTAGAATGTCACCCTTGAGCCAAAGTGCAGAATCTGGAATTTTCAGATTGTACTCCGAAGCTCCAAATTCAAATCCAAAGCTAGAATTCATATCCTTTTGGGCCCAAAATTTAAGATAACATGTGTAAACTTGTAAAATATGAAGGTGTAAAGATCATTTCATGAAATCAAGGCCTAAAAGTATGTCAATTGTGCAACATTCAACTTGAATTGTAAGAACATGATGTGAACATGTCATACATGTATAATTTGAGTTCATAGCTTCCCAAAACATGATCAAATGAAATATTCAACTCAAAAACATGGTGAATTCTTAGACTATAACCAAAATATGAACATGCATGAGAGAATTCTTCTGAAAACAACTTCAAAACTTCATGATATGGACATGCATGTATGATTTGAATTACAATTCTTTAATCCTAGCTCATTCTCATTTTAGTCCACCTCTTTAACTTGAATTCTTACAAAAACTAACTCAATTACACAACTATGGGTTAGATTGCTTACCTAGGCTTGTTAAGATGAAAGCTAGAAACTTAATTTTGAGTTTTAAAGTCCAAATCCTTCAATTCTAGTAAATTCTTGCTCAATTCTTCTATCCTCTAGTTAAGATCCAACGCCTCTCTCTCTCTCTCTCTCCCTCTCTCTCTCTCTCTCTCTCTCTCTCTCACATTGAGCTCAAAGATGAGGAAATGAGGGTGTCAAAAATGTGTAGGAGAGATAGAATTTGCCTTATATAGGCCCACTTAGTGGAATTAATTTGGCTTAAGCTAAGCAAAGTGGTATTAATTAATCTAATTTAATTGTTCCGAATTGAATTTCAATTGAACCTACCATAAATTCTAAAAATTCTAATCAACATATAAATCAAGTCAATTTCTAAATCGGATGTCGATGAGACCTTCAATTTACAAACCAAAGCGAAAACACAAACAAATCTTTCTACGCTAAACAGATATAAGCACAATATTGCAACATACACATGCAATTT